GCGGCGAGGGCCGCGGGCGGCGTGGGCGGCGGCCGGGGTCCGGCTTCGGGCTGCCGGCGGCTGCGGTGGTTCCTCTCCGTCGTGGGCGTGCGGCGGTGGTGCGGCTCGGCCGGTGGCGGTCTGGCGACCTGGTGATGGTGGCCGGCGGTGCGCGTGTTGGTGGTGCCTTCCTTGGCGGCTTTCGGTGTGGGAAGGAAGGGGAGCGGCTTGGACAGGGGCGGCGGAGCCGACGGCGTGCCGGCTGCAGCGCGAAGGCGGGAACTTTACGGGCCTCTGCGTTCCCGGCCGGGCCTGTGCGGCCACGGGCCTGGTGTGTTCCTGCCATTGCGTCCGGTCAGCTACCGTCTTCGGCGGTGGAGGTGGGGCCCTCCCGCGTGCCGATGGTGCTGTTGCCTGGTCCCGGCTCCTCTTCTTCATCGTGCCGACCATGCTTCACGGTGCCGTGGTGAGACAGCGTTGAACGCTTCGTGTCCGGGCTGGCGCAGGGTGAGGGTCTGTTTGGCGGCGAGCTTCGGAGTGCCTGAGGTGGAGGTTGGGATCGGGAGAAATCTCTGTTGGCCTGGCCGACATCGACGCGGTGGCGCTTGTGGGTGCCGCCAGACCTTCCTGGAGGGCGTCGGAGCTACCCTTCCTCTCCCCTCACCGTACCGGGGGAAGTCTCCCCTCACCGTACCGGGGGAAGTCTCCCACCAGACCCTTGGCAGCACCGTCGTCTTCGTCGCGTTCCTTCTTGGAGGTGTTGATTGGTACCGGTGCTTCGGAGGCTCGGAGTCTGGTGGGAGATCTCCGGTGGGTGCAGCGGCCACGAGGCTTCTTCATTTCTTTGTCGACCCGCCGTTGTCGGCGTTTGTTTCTCTTGTATTTTCTCTTTCTTTTCTTTTGGGCGTGACTGTGCTGTTTCCGCCCCAGCACCTATCGTTGGATGGTTCGGTTGGTTGCTTTGTATACAAAGCGGGGGGAAACCCTTTTTCGGTATTAGACAATGTTTGTCGACGACATGAATAGTGTAGCAACATGAAATTATATTAAAAACATAAGTCAGCAAGTTGCGGAACATAATTGAAGTGCGTCTACAATAGGTTTAAGCAATGATGAATTGTGATATACCTTGCTTTTAGCCATTAACCTAAGCTATTACTTGGCATGGCAGAAACCTTTTCACTTGTTGTCATTAACACTGATGAAAAGAGACTGAGCCCGTGTATAAAAAGAAAACATTTAGAGAACGAAAGTTCATAGTCCTAAAGTGGAAAGGAGGGAAAATACAAAAATATTATTTAAGCGAAACAACATGATACATATATTTCATCCATGATATTTAAAATATCCTTCATAAGTATCATCCAACACACAACACAAACTGGACGACTCCTACTATCAGAAGGGTAAAAAAAGGCCGGCGTATTAGCTAATGAAATGTCTCTGAGAAAATAAAATTAGAGCAAATGGAAATTAAACACAATAGAAAAAAATATAGACGTTATTAGGCTATTGAGAAGCAGTGAACTGTATTGTCTAACTCCACAAATTTACCTTTGTTTTACTATTAAGTCCAATGTTAAGTGAACTACTGAGCAATAGTAGAACGGTGGGGCAGAGTGTTGTCATGGAGCAAGGGATGTTTGCAACCATATGAAAAAAAAAATCTGAATATCCATTGAGAAAGGATCTAAGGGAGCATGGACAACCTGCGAACAGCAATGCTAGAAGATGCAGTACGAAAGAAGACATGGATCTGAATCGGATAAACTCGCAGTGTGCAACCAATCTCTCCGAATATCTAGATACTGCCTTCCAAACTAAATACTTATAAAAAGAAGATTCAGTAATGGAGAAGAAAAAACATCATTGTATTGCGTGCTTGCATATTTGGTTCGTTGGATCCAGGTGCTGCTCTTAAAACAGAGGATTTGCAAGCATTTAAGGCCTTCTCTCAGTACCAAATTTTAAAGATATACATAACCTTGTGAAAAAATGTTCATCACATTTTTTCTCTTAGATGTTAGATAGATACTAAAATCTAACAAATTTTCATAGATCAATTGCAGTATTCTTCTGTCTAGTATCATTTGTTTGAGCTAATCAATGAATTATAGGTATCGATATTTAAAATGCTGGTTTGAACGTATCAGCATAGCATAGAGACAGAGAAGAAAGGACTTCACCTCAGTCCCCTTATCTTGCCCTTTTCCGATGCTGATTTGGCATCAGCCTCTCTAGCAGACATAGATTCCTTAATCAATAACAGCCTCTCAAGTCTCAAAGTGTGCATACTAATAAAATCCTTCTCGAGTGATTTCCTTGTTGCCATAATCAATCATGAACCTACTGTAGCAACATGAACAGTCAATACATATTAGTAGTCCACACAGAAATAAATATCACATACTCTTTGCCGTCTCTCTCACACATGATGATCACATAATGTTGCTTCTGATAACTGATAGTCTTCTCCCGCAAACAAATATATCTTTACGATTGGGCTGCATATAATTAGGAGAACCTTATGGACCTCAAGGTGGGTGCAGAAAATTTTCAGCTCAATCTACCTTCCATCACTGGCACGACAAAAGAAAAAAAACGCTTAGCTGTGAATTTCATCGAGCATCTAACATATAATTCAGAGTAAATGTTGAGGACACTACATCATGTATTCAACTCATACAGGGGACCAAGATCCAACACATGATGATCACATAATGTTGCTTCTGATAAGAGACAGTCCTCTCCCTCAAACAAATACATCTTTACGATTGTGCTGCATACAATTAGGAGAACGTTATGGACCTCAAGGTGGGTGCAGAAATTTATCAGCTCAATCTACCTTCCATCACTGGGAAGACAGAAGAAAAATAATTCTGAATTTCACCGAGCATCTAACAAATAACTCAGAGTAAAGTTTGAGGACACAACATCATGTAATCAAATCGTACAGGGGCCCAAGATGACATTCATGGATAAAAAATATAGTAGTAAGGGTAATCTGTTGGATATTCCTTGTGCGTTCATCGGATCGATGCTGCTCCCAGTTCGTACATGGATCGACGTAGGAGTATGTCCTCATCGGGCACCGCAAGAATTTGCCTCTTGTCACCAATTTATTTGCAGTGTCGTTCTAATCAAGCACTTGTACAGAACATTGCCTCCACCAGGTATCATTTCTCATCTACAATCTATAGATGGAAACCAACCCAAGTTACTGTTGTCGAACACAATCACTTCGCCATGGAATCGCTGGCGTTGATGACCAAAAAAAAATCCGATCAAACACCATTTGATCAAGAGACTTAAAAAGCTACGTACAATCAAAGAAAAAAATGCTACTACCACACAAACCAGGACAGATTCCGATGTGCACCCATTCTCGCGGGAGCCACGCCGAGGAGCCCGGCGTCGTCGGTGTTCCAGCCGGCACCGAGTGGGCCATCCCAAAGCTTAGTGTCCACCTCTAGGGAATATGATGGCGGGGGAGAGGTGATGGTCATCGATACTTCACTCCATCACAGACCACAAACAAGGGGATGGCGGGGACGCGAGCAGGCGGTTGGTGATGGTAGAAGAAGACGGTGAGGCGGCGGCGTTGCTCGCGGTCGGTCGAGGAGGAGAGACTCGGGTACCAGTATTGATTGAGTGGGGGTGGAGGAGATCCAGCAGTGCTGCCGTCGCTCGAGGTCGCCGCCCCGCCGAGATTGGAGGCGCCATCTAGATCGGGGGCAAAGAGACGAGAGGAGGCGGGGTGGGAGGAAAGGCTTGCGGTGGCGGCGAGATTGTACGTCGTAGGTGATCCCATACGGCGGCGGCGAGATCGTACGGCGGAGGCCGCGATCGAGGGGGTCGACCTAGGACAAAATGATAGTTCGAGGGGATGGAGGGGAGCGGTGTTCTATGGGATTTTTTTTCATGCGTGGTGATATGGTTTATTTTGGGAGCTAAGTATGGAAGGGGATCAGTGGGAGAAATAAATCGGAGAGGGAGTTGATCTATTTGGAAGGTGATCTCATGTATATGGTATTATTTCTGAATTCTTAATCACCAAATATTTACATGATTGAATTGAATCGACAACTAATCAAAGCAAACACGAATAAATGGAAGGAGTATCAAACACGATTCGGTTTTAAGTGCGAAAAAGAAAAAATTAACGTGGGAGGGGCGGTGGAAGGTGGGACGAAAATAAACCGGACGAAAATTAACCAGACGAAGACTATTCAACCAACTCGTCCATCTCTACTCCTAATGGATGAGTTGGTTGAATAGTCCCACTACTTTCGTCTGGTTTTTTTTCGTCTGACTTTTTTTCGTCCGGTTTTACTTCGTCCCACCTTCTCTCATTGGTTTTTCTTCCTCCCATTAAAAAAACCAAACCTCATTAAGGAGAGATCTTGTTTCATGGTTCCTTTGGTAGGTGTTGATTCAATTCAATTATGTAAACAATAAGTAATTCAGAATTCAGAAATTACGCCATATATGTGGGATCACCTTCCTAAAATATAGACACGAGATTTTCTCGATAATCTTCCATAATAAAATAATATATTTCTTCATAATAAATCACTAATCACGCGTGCCATGCTTGACAATCACAAGTTTCATATGGGATCACCTTCCTAAAAACCCCACGCTTTGGACCCCCGCCTCCCATCGATCGAATGAAACCCCACCCCTTCGTCCGCCTATCCCGTAAATCTTGCTTCCTTCCTCCGCAGCCTCCTCAAATCCTCCTCGTCTCTCCCCCAAGCTGTTTTGGACGAGGCAGACGCGGCGGCGGCGGAGAATGTGCGCATGGTCGGGTGAGTTTTGAACGTGCACATGGTAGGGCGAGCAGAGCAGAACTCGTTGGTGCACCTACTGCCGGCCACGGGCGCGTAGCGCTGCCTCGTGCAGCCATCGTGGACGCGCCGGATCGCCTTGCCAGCGCGTTCCTTCCATTCGACGGCCGGGTCCGATCGTGACGGCACCGTGCCGTTCTCGTCGATGCCGGCCACCTCCGACCAGCTACTCGCCAGCCGACAAAACCGCATCCTGGGCGGACGTCTCGTCCCCGCCATGCCCTACCCGGCCGCGCACTACCATGGTCGTCCTCTTCGACGCGACACGAGATCGTAATCTGCCAAGGCGCCATGTGGGACTCGGAGATCAGCTCTGCCGGGGGCAAGCTCCACTGCGCCGCGCGCTGGCACCAACGTTGCCAGTTCACTGGAGCTTGGAGGAGGCTGTCGCGAAGCTGCTGCCAGCCTGCCACCTCGGCAGACTATACCTAGGCAGAACGAAAATGGGTCCGGCCGGTGCTCTGGACTTAGAGGAGGAGGAGGAGCATGGTGGAGGACGCGCAAGGCTTGTACTTCACCCAGATTGTGTACCATTGGTATTATTCCAGTCATCTACTTAGTTGAGGAGCATGTGAGCTCTAAAACAACTTTTCTCTTAGGTATCGATTCTCGTTTTTGTACTTAATTAACAAGCTACAGCACTGCAACGTATGGTGGGCATCCTCATGGGAGGGCTGGGAGTGTTGGACTGGAGCCTCGCTCCATGACGTACGCTCTCGCCAGAGTACTCTCCTTGGCCTCTTCTACATACACAGATATACTTGATGAAGCTTTTCGTCAATTGCAAACTATGCGTAGTTCAGTACTCAATAGTGATCACTCTGTATTGTTGATTCTGATTCAGAAAGGTAGGTTTCAGAAAAATAGTGAACACTCTGTATTGTAAGAGCCATGCTAATTCAAGTCAAAGGTGTGTTGACAAGTTAATTTTAGCTTGTATAAGATGGAAGTATCTCGAAGATAAATTTCATAGCTGATGTTCCTCTCATACATAGCAGGATGTGGATCCACCTCCTTTGTCAACGACTCCCATTATGTCTAGGCAAGTAGTTATTAGTAAAATTATGGCGCATGTATGTTTGTTACTTTCAGTTGTTATGCATCTACGCTAGATTTAGAGGATACCCTTTTTTAATTAAATTTTTTTGGAAGCTTCTATGTTCAATAGAGTCCTTGCAACTTATGTCGTTATGGGTACAAACTTATTTTTTTTCTCTGAAACTCAAATATATGCTTCTTTTGTGGGCTTACAACATTAGAGAGAGTTCATGGATTCCAATTCGGTGACAGCACATATTATGAATTTAATAAGAAGATATGGGATGGTTTCACAGGAAGATTATCCAAGGTGGGTATTTGCATTTGTATGTGGAACAGTGTCGCTCCAGCAAGGTTCTGTTTCACGTAATCTTCAGAATATTATAAATCACACATCCGTTCTTGAGCAATGTTTTACTTGTTGAACTCTAGCAGCGGTTTTTCTTGATACATAGAGCAAACGGGTTTTTAATCTATTGTCCAGAATTGAATGTATCATTTTTCCTCATTGTGAACTTGTGTAGAGGGTGGTCAGAGAATATGTAATTATATTGGGGTGTTTCTTTTTCATCTTAGGTATTGAAGGATACAATGAGTTGACCAGTTATGATTCCCTTCAATCCGTCAAATACATATTTCAATACATCACTATTTTTTTTTCTAGAAGAGCCATGGCTTTAATTCTTGATGATGCGTTGGCGGCTTCATTTATAGTTCCGTTCGATAGAGGATCACAACCAGCCAACAAGTTTTTTATTTTGTTTTTGGCCTCTAATAAGTTAGCCTAACCAATCAATCATAAACAACATCCTGCATCCATAGTACATTGTCGCTGTCAAGTTTGTATCTTGCATAGTAACATCACTCTTATTCTTAAGAATTCGTACAGTAGACAATGGCGTTTACAGTTTGCACTTCTCAGATATTAGAATAGCTACAATAAGCTTATATTAAGTTGTCATGTGAGCTTGATTCGTTCATTGGGTGTGCGCTTTAGATTTTCTCTTTGTATAGATTTTTGTTTATTACGTTTTAGCTGGTTTTCCCTGATAACTCCGAACATTTTGAATGTTTTATTTAGCTGACGGGTCCAACTTGTGTTGAAGGGAAACTCAAGGTTCCAACATGATATGCCCTCTCTTTCATTGGGTTTATTGGAGCGTAGAATTGGTAAATTTTGTGACATCAAGGCAGTTTTTGGTGTAGGAGATAGAAAGTGAGGGGATTTTTTCTTGCTCTTCTCACGGGTACATAAATTTGTATCACAAATCAGGCATGTGCGCGCGAGGGAGGGAAGAGGAGAGAAACATTGACATTTTTCATGCTTTGGAAGAACATTTCTATTCATAGTTTTCTTTTTCCGTGGCCACACATGAGTGTCGTGCCATCATGGTAGAGCCCGGATGAAGGGTAAGTCCAATATAGAACCAGGAGGTCGTAGCACTAAGACAAGAGGATGATTGTCGCCCTTGTCCCATGTTGCAAGCATGCCACAATGTTGTCGGTCATTGGCTCACTTAGAACATGAGTTAATGTACTTTGTGATAAGAGTGAGGGTTGAGAGTGAGCCGAATGTGGATTGGGATTGGTCGAATCAATTACGACTGTCTAAGTGGAATAATATCCCTACTTTAGAAAATGTGGCAAATTGCATTTCATTAGAGATGCCATCTGTAGCAAACTGCATGAGCGGGCGGTTCATATTTTTTTCATCAACACGTACAATTGATTGGTTAGGATAGAAGGGTAAATGCATTGGTTTGGTTGCTTCAAGAGTTAATAACGGGCAGGGTATGTATCAATTGCATGCCCAACAACAGACACCATTTTTTTCGTCGCAATGCATGACATTGTACGTTATGGTACAATGTGACAATGCTTCAAGAGACATCAGATCCTTCTTCTTAGCTTGGGGGCGTCATGAGCAGCACACTCCCCCCCCCCCTATGGCGGTGGTGAATAGACACAAACACATGGAGAGGTGATCATGGTGGAAAGCAGGGCGGTTGGCGGGGGACTCATCCTTGGCGTTCCGCGGGTAAGTACGGTTTGAAGGAGAGAAGGCGCCATGGTGAAGATGAGCTGGGTCACATCAGGTTTTAAAGGAGAGGGCTCCAACGAGAAATGCCCCGCTGCATCAGGAAATGAGTGAGAAGGGAAGGGTCCGGCAGGAAAAAGGAAAAGTGCGTCATGGGGTGGGGTTTTTGTGTTGGGACTACGTGTTCAAGATAACATGACATATAGTCCGGGCAATCACATTTATCCCCATATGGGCTGGATTTGGGGAGCCCGGACTATCCAGTTGGTTATTGAGAGCCTGCATGGCGCCCGTTTAATGCCCGAACACGCCCGGACATTTGAGAGAGAAATGAGCTTCGACCTTGGAGACGACCTTAATTTGTTTTATTTATTTATATGAATTATAGCCCGTAGCAACGCACGGGCATTCTACTAGTTAGGAGTAGAGATTGCGATTATCTTGGCAAGAATCGTCCTTGCACGTGTATACTCTTTCTCATAGTATGCTGTATACGCCCAGAAGTAGCACTCAACCACACGATCCTGCGAGTAGTTTAGCCCCACTTCTCTGTAAAGATTTTTCCACCATCTGAAAGTGAGTTTGTTGTTAGTGTTCTGTAAAAACGATATTGCTGCTAGGTTCAATTTATGAGAAGTATGACTGAAAGTTATCTTTTGTTCCGGAAAAATGCGAAAGGATTAGCATCCTAATATCAAGAACTTGATTTTTATCTATTCTTTAATGCCAGAATTTGACCATAGATTTAACTGACAAAATGTTAATGCATGTCATCAGAACTTATGTCGCTGGATTCGTATTTGGACATGGTTTCCAATGATACTATTTTTTGTGACATGCATTAACATTTTGTTAATTCAATCCATGGTCAAAATTTGACACAAAATACTAAGGGGACCAATAAATCAGGACGGAGGTAGTATATGTTACCTAGAGAGAGCCTTGAGCTCCTTCAAGTGGAGACGTTGCAGAAGGTTAAAATACAGTTTGGCGAACTCCAAAATGGAGGTGTTGTGCGGCGGCTCTTCTTTGTACTCTGACATATAATGCAGCACCTCTACTCTCTTCAAGGTCCTTGGCAGCGGCAAGTCACTACCAGAAAAACTGGGGTTGCCGACGGCCAAATCTATGCCGACGGCCCCCGTCGGCATCTATGGACCTATGCCGACGGCCAAGGATAGGCCGTAGGCGTAGAATAGCCGTCGACATGGGCCGTCAGCATAGAAGAGGCCGTCGGGACCGCCGGAGCTACGCCTACGGGGCCCGTCGGCATAGGATAGGCCGTCGGCATAGCCCGGGCCCACCTGCCCGGTCAGCGCTGACCATTTGACGGTGTTGATCCTACGCCGACGGCCGGTAACGGCAGCCGTCGGCATATCTGTGGCAGAGGTATGCCTACGCCACAGCCGTCGGCATAGGCCCCTCTGCCATGTCAACGATCCGTGTGCCACACCACGTCATCGATCTGTGTGTGCACAGATATGCCGACGGCCTTGCCGTCGACATATGTTTACTTTACTTAATTTTTTATTTTTACTTTGGTTATCTGTGGCAGAGGTATGCCTACGGCACAGCCGTCGGCATAGGCCCCTTCGCCACGTCATCGATCCGTGTGCCACGCCACGTCATCGATCCGTGGGACAACCTCCGTCATCGATCCGTGTATTTTACTTTATTTTTTTATTTTTACTTTGTTTTGTTATTTTTACTTTATTTTAGTTTTTGCTTTTGCATAAGATAATTATGCCTTATCTAAAAAAACATACCCGATGGTATATCGATTGCCCCCCGTTAAGAACTTCGCTATCGCCGTGTCACGGAGGGGGGAAACGATCGACACGGAAGGAATTCTGGTTGGTGGGGGGATTCGGGGTGTAGCTATGTCACCGAAACATCGCACGGGTCCCGATGCATATGTGAAAGTGTTCATGCATGCGTAGACGCCCGTCTTGGGGCTCCGGGGTGTGCCCCCCCTCACGGACGGCGCTGCCGCCGGCACCTGGAGGGGGGAAACGGACGCGTGGGGTCTACACGGAGGGGATCTTGCTGTGGGTCTGACCCGGATGTTGCTCCAAAGTGTTCCTATGGGCTGACCTAACACAATCGGGTAGGGAGGTCCACTGACTAACCCCATTAAACATTCTTCTTCTTCTATTTACCATCACTTTCTTATGTATGACTAACCTCTGTTTGGTGGTGCAGGAGGAGAAACTGAAGCAGCCGCTCTCACACATGCAGGCATGGGAGATCGCCCATACGCCGAAGGACCCCAAGCCTGGCGAGACCAAGTACTACGGCAAGAAGACCGCAGGGAGGAAGAAGGCCTACTCCGAAGCGTATCTAAAGTTACATCCTGACACACCTGACCCCATTGCGGCGCCTCTGGACGACATGGTGGTGGTGAGGATGGGGCCCAAGAAGCACGGTCGGGAGGCGGTTCTCGATGCTGTGATCACTCCTAGTATCTCCTACACACAGCTTCGTCGGATCGACCCGAGCCTGAGCCAGCGCACGAACCAGCCAGTGACCAGTACACAGTCCCTCTTTTAGGAGCAACAATATGTAAGTATTTTCCCTCTTATCTTCATTGCTCACTTTATTTTCCGCATTTAGTAGTTTTATGAGTTCCATCATGTCATACCGTAGGCCTACCTGGAGTACACACGCCAGGAGACCATGGCGTGGCATCAGAGGCTTTATGAACACCAAGTGCAGAGGGATAGCCAGATGCAGCAGGCTTTTCAGGATATAGCGGCCGGCAGGTGTCCTCAGTTCCCTCCAGCACAATGCCCTCCAGCACAACCAGTGCTGAAGAGCTTTGAGGAGTTTGTGGCACAGAACGCTGGCCCCTCGCCGATTAGTTCATCCCCAATCTATTCACCCAAATCATGTCATGCCTTTCAACACAGTCATATATCCCGTGCATATGTCTTTTCAACATCCAGGGAACAGGTGGATCTACCGTTGGCGGTGGTTTTCGCAGCACTCCGGAGACACGGAGCCCGACCACTCCGATCCACGGAGGCGGAGGCGGTCTTGGCGGTAGCGCTGCCGCTAGCAGTGACGACCTGGGCTTCGGCCGTCTTGGCGGTGACGACCTCCGCGGTGCTCGATGATCCTTGTGTGTGGTGATGATGCTTGAGATGACTTGTGTGTGGTGATGATCATTTAGATGACTTGTGTGCTTCTCTATATGCTTATGCTTATGTTGGTTGTGATGATGTTCATTTAGAGACTTGTGTGTGATGATGCTTATGCATATATTGTTGTGATGGTGCCGGATGATATCCCGTTGTGTTTTATATGTCTATCCCATCATATATATCTGCTGATATGTGCTGCTATTTGAATTGAATTGATCTGAAAACAAACAGAAAAAAGAAAAAAAAAGCAAAAGCAAACTATGCCGACGGCTAGGCCGTCGGCATAGGGCTAGCGTGAGCTCCTAGTAGCTGACACGTGGCACCTATGCCGACGGCCTAGCCGTCGGCTTAGTTTAAAAACTGTGCCGACGGCTAGACCGTCGGCATAGGCGCCCACGTGTCAGCTACTGGGAGCTCTGTATGAAGGACTATGCCGACTGCCTGGCCGTCGGCTTAGTTTCAAACTATGCCGACGGCCCAGCCGTCGGCATAGCCCTGGTCCACGAGCAGCGGCTGGTCGCCACGTGGCACACCTATGCCGACGGTCGAGCCGTCGGCATAGTTTTTGACTAAGCCGACGGCTAGGCCGTCGGCATAGGGTGCCACGTGGCGACCAGTCGCTGGGCAGACTTGACGGCGGCCGCCGTTAGGCGTGATAGTTGCCGACGGCCGGGGCCGTCGGCATAGATGTACGGTCCCCGTCGGCGTATCATATATGCCGACGCATATGTTGCCGACGGCCCTATGCCGACGGGGGCCGTCGGCATAGGTCTATCCCGACGGGACTCAGGCCTATGCCGACGGCCCTGGCCGTCGGCATAGGGGGCGATTCCGGTAGTGAGTGAAGGGCGCGCCTGACTTGCTCTGCCAATGGGTAATCAAGCTTACCTTCCATCGATTCGAGGTGTCGCCTCGCAAATGAGATGCTTTCTTCAAGCTCTGTCTCCCCATGGATAAAAAGGTATGCTGCATTGTATAGACTTAATAGCCCCCTTGGGTCGTACGGTAACATGGAAGGCCTCATGTTCGTCTTTGAACTTGCTGAATACATCTGCAAGAAGAGATACATGTTACATCTTATGAGCATATATGGGTAGCATTGGTGATTCTCTCTTCTTAATTGCATGCATACGTTTTGTAGTTTTCTTAAAACAAGCAACACATCAGTATTCCAGACCAAACTGCTTTTACGTGACATGATGTGAATTTTAAGCATGTAGTGTTTCTGCGTATTTGTAATTGCATCAAGCGAAAAACTCGAAGTTTGACAACGGCTACTTACATAAAACAAGAAACTTTTATGGACAATACAATATTTCAGGAGGTTGGGTTATTAGTGAATACCTGGAGACACCCAAAAGCCTTGCTGCCTCAGTATGCGGAACCGAAGGGCGACATGATGAAGGCTGGAGCTATTGAATTCACCAGCATGAGTGCTTCTTAATGTGGAGTCAATTTGTTCATGAAAATGATGATCTACGCTTAGGTGTTGTAGTGTGTCTACAAGGTTCAGTTGCTCAACTATGGTACCGCATGAAAATAACCCGATTATTTTCTCCTTCAGTTGATTGGACCTCTCCGTCATCCTTTCCTCTGACATCTACATGGCATTACCAAAATATATGTTACGCAGTGTTAACTGAAACCATGTCCATGGTGAAATTTATTTAACCATGTGACAAGGGGAGAAAATAATAGTGTTAGAAGGAAAGATTGTTCTTGGCTAAAGTTGCAGCCATTAGATGTTAGCTATTCTGCAAACAGGAAAACAGACCGTGACATGTTTAAATATAAATAGAAACTGCAAAGGGAAACAAGAAAAAAAAAGAAACATGAGATGATAGTTCCAAGTTTGTAACATCAAAATCTCCGGAAGAGGGGTTTGAATGCAATCTTGAAGTTTTATCGGTCTATCGAAACAAAACTGAAAGCCAATAAACAAACAGAATCCAGGCATATATCTCAACAATGGCTCCAGAGTCCAGACCAGGTAATTACTTTAGGTCGGGCCATAAAACCGAAGGAAAAACACGCAGACTGAAAAAATGTACTGCTCCCGGACGCTGTTATTACTGCTGTAACAAGAGAAAGCATGCCTGTAACGGTTCTGGATTGTAGTTGATGAAGAAGTCACCCCAGACCGTGGGATGAAACACAGGCGCGGTAGCATCATGAGACGCCATGATAAAATGTGTAGTCTGGTGATTGTTGTAGTGGTGTGGCTTTGAGAAAACCTGGAGCGGTCGACGGCCTTATATACACAGCGTGGCTTTGAGAAGACCTGAAAAGCTGGTCTTTCGTGTTCACATGCTACTCACCTGCAAGGAGAGGAACAGATCTTGTTCCTTGCGTCACCTTCTCCATGGCGACCGGGGGCACTAACCCTAGCCCCCGCCGCCACCACCACCTCCTCCTTCCCGTGGCCCCCTGCCCCCCTCGCCGTCCCTAGAGGTGGCCATAGGGAAAACCCGTGCACCGCCGGTAAAGGGTACGACGGGGATCTCGCGTCCGTGGCGCGAGATCTTCCTACAACGGCTGCTCCTCTCGGTAGCACGGCGTTGGTCCGGTGACAACGTGGGGACGTAAGACTCGGCGGAGATCTACGGCGCAAGGCCCCCCGGGGCAGCGGCTCCGATCACCACGGCGGCGTCCCTTTCATCGGGGATGACAGGCCAATAGGTGGCTTCATGTGGCGGTGCCTAGAGGCGGCGTCGAGGGCGAGGTGCGTCCGCCGGTGAAAACCTCGCCGACTTCGGTCATGGCGGATGATGGTAGTGTATTTACGTCATTTCCTTGTTGGAGATGTCGTTGTTGTAACTGTCATCTTCCCGTCATGCTGCTCTGGAGAAGTCCTAGATCCGGGTTTCTTAGATCGTACGATGGCAACAATGTGGCGTCGTACATTTTTTGGAGCATGTGATGGCTGGATGGGTCCTGAGGTGGAGCAGCGTGGTCTTCCGAGTCGAAGACAGTTAGTCTTAGCGGCGCGGTGTAGCTGGTCTCGGCGGTGGACTCTTGGTGATGGACGAGTGCAGGGCAATGACGTTGTCTGGTGTCGACGACGGGCCTGGCAAGATCATTTCATTGATCCATGTACCGAAGATGGGTTCACCAAAGACAGTGATGACAACTTCTGAAGCATGCGCATGCGCTATGTGCGAAGGGTCTGCTGGACCGGTGCTCCGATTTTAGATGGTATGTGCAGGGGTGAGATTAGGGCAAGGCCATGAACATGACCATCATTATCATTAAGTTTGTAGGAGTGATTTTTGTTGTCTAGAAAGTGGATTCGAAAGGATCAATGTTTTATTTTATACCGCATTATTGAATAATAAAATAATTTGACTGTAACATTGTATGATGTAGAGGGCGGAGCTCAACCTCCTTTTCTAAAACAAACACAGCATGCCCGTGCAAGTCTTTGAACGGGCAGGCGCCATCCAATGTTTTCTTTTTCAAGAGTGGTCAGCTAGGATTATACACCTACACGTCAGATCCAATTTAGTGGAAAAGTGCACAAACCACCAACTATTGATATTGATTTTGCACAAATCACCCATTATATAGGTGTTTTTGGGGGAAAACTTTCAATCTATTCATTTTCAATCATGGCAGTACAACCAACACTAGGAATAAAAATTACATCCAGATCCGTAGGCCACCTAGCGACGACTACAAGCACTGAAGCGAGTCGAAGGCGCGCCACCGTCATCGCCGCAACACTACTTGTTGCAGTAGACAGTTGGAAAGTCGTCGTGCTAAGGCCCCATAGTACCAGCATCCCAGAACAGCAACCGCCGCCGATGAAGAATAACGTAGGTCGGAAGGACCCAAACCGAAGACACACAAACGTAGATGAACAACGACGAGATCCGAGCAAATCCACCAAAGATAGATCCGCCAGAGACACACCCCCACACGCCCACCAACAATGCTAGACGCACCGCCAAAACGGGGGGCTAGGCGGGGAGACCTTTATTCCATCTTCAGGGAGCCGCCGCTATCTCGCCTTCTTAAGCAGGACACAAACCCTAACAAGATTGAAAAAACGACTAAAAACGGAGCCCTCCCGCCGGCCCTTGCCAAGATCCACCGCGCCTCTATGGCCCTAGGGCCACCGGAGACGAGGTGGACCTGCGCCGACACCGGCGAGAGGCACGGACCCTAACTTTCTTTCTTGGAGGAGGAGGCTGGAGTGATATTACTCAATACCCATTATATAGGTTTGTTGCATATAACACCATATATTGATGTAATTCGTTGCAATCGTGTTTAATCCAACATTCAGGTATGTTGACATGATTTTCAACAAGTGTATTCTGCTTGTAAGTGCACACATTAACAAGAAAGAAAAACCTGCTTGTAAGTGCACCCATGGGAAAAGGAAAAAAAATACTGGACACATCAGCGGACCAACTAAAACTTTCAATATCTTCGAAACGCTTAGTCCAATTTAGCTTTTCTTGATTAGTTGAGTAAATGTACATTCTACCGAGTTTTTTCACATTTTTGTAAACATGTTAAATTTTGAACATGTGGTAGATTTTTTTTGCCAACATGCACTTACATGTCAGACCCACCCATTAGAAATCACATCAGCCTATGTAAACACTGGATTAGACCTATCTCCAACAGATGACACCAATATGTGTTATTCTGTGCAACAAACTCGTATGGTAGGTAAAATAAGCATTAATAGTTGGTGGTTTGTGTAATTTTGTTTCCAATTTAATTCGCGTCACCATTGAGACTTTGGGAGAAGACGAGCCTAATTGTCAATGGCGTCTGACATAATTCCAACGAACACAACCTTGCCGAGCATGCCCTTGGTCATCTTGAACGAATCCGTCGTGTCGTGCGCGTACCTCCGTGTAACTTGCACTTGAAGTGTTGCCACGAGGTGAGCTCAGGTGGTGGTTCAGAAGCTGCAAGTCCAGTCTTCTTTCCCCATCACGGTCACTACTCATGAAAACTAGGGTCCCAATATTGCATTTTACGCCTATGCCTCCGTGTAGACCGACGCACATATGATATCCGCGTTCGTAATGAGTAATGACTAATGACCAATTAATTAATTTAGCTAGACCGCGCGAGCTGGTTCTGAAAGCGTGAAAAGTAGTGATCCGGCCGTTCATGCATGCATGGCAGCCGCGCTCTCGTCGTCGGCGTGACGACCGATGGACGACGTCCGGCTGCTGGTAAGCTGACAGCCATGGCTGACCGGCCCGATCGATAGTGAAGTAAGAACAGAGACCTTTTCTGGCTGCGTAGGAACCTGCTCTCCTCCAACGACGTCAAGTTGTACATGGAGGTATGGCCTAGCTGGTCATTAATTACGACATAGCAGCCGCGTGATGTTCCGATCAGAGTTTCGGCGAAAATACCTTGAGCTCGGCTGCGAAGAGGACGGCGACATGGAGGGCCTTCATTGAAGATAGCCAGCATGCTGCCCTGCTCGATCGATCTGGTTAAGGGCTTTTTTTTTGCGAATGATCTGGTTAAGGGCTTAACCGCTTAAGGTCATGTCGGGCTGATTGATTGTTCTTTCTCTCTTGACTTACCAGAGGTCTTTTCATGCGGGGGCTCTTCTTCCTCTCTCTCTCTCTTACATGCATGCAAAGATACATAGACACGACATCATCAAAGATTCTTTTTATTTATTTTGAGATTTTATTATTTTTATATCTTCCAAATTGTTAATCCGATCGATGATCCGCTTTCACTGTTAGCTCCCTCGCGACGATATCTTCATGTTGACATGTTTTGATAACTTTTGTTTTCATCAGTAGTTGGCACATTAATATCACTTAGTTTCCAGATTATGAGCCACTTAGTTGTCAGATTATATTAACTTGGTTGTTGGATTGTTGAACGCCAATATATATCACTAGCAAACTTGCTTCGTGGTACTTGTATGGGATGATGCCACTCCTTTTCTATTGTTAACACTTGGTTATTCACTCTCTACCCTTACATCACATTACAACGTCTAAACACATACAAACATATTATCTGGTAACTGTACATAATTATTGTGGCAATTGTTCACGATTGGCAGAGACAATTATGTTGTCATATTCTAACAACCAGAGTCCGTAAAAAAATTGTTCAAACACGACAATATGATATGTTGTTTTGAAGTCCTCGCCAGAGACAAACTCGCTGGTGAAAATGGATCACTAATTGGGTTAACAGTTCATGAGATAAATTATTTTGAATATTTGAATGTGTTAATTAATGTGACGACAACAACACATATGGTGCTCTCTCTATATAAAGGAACATTTCCATTGTAACGGAGCAGCATGGGAATACCACGGTGCATGCTACGCACATTAGATTTTCCCTTCTTTCTTTTAATTTTCTTTCGGGTACTCCTGCCATTCCAAAATAATTGAAGTTCTAATATTTTCTCAAGTCAAACTTTTAAAGGTTTGATCAAATTTATAGAAATTTACGTCAAGATCTATGATATCAAATATATATAATATGAAAATTCATTTCATAATGAATCTAATGAAGGAAATTTGGTTTTATAGACATTGATACATACTATTTGTGTATTTCTGGTCAGACTTAATAAGTTTTGACTTAAGATACTCCTAGAACTATAATTATTTTGAAACGGAGGGAGTAGTAAATGATATCGTCCAGTTCTTCATCTGGGAACTGATTAATGAAGTCATTGTAGTTTTTTTCTTCAATAACAATATAAATATCGGGGAGCGCTAGATGCGGTATTTTCTACATGAATTTCCTGGATGACGCCTGTTGTGTCAAAGTGTAGATCCTTAGCACGAGCAACCGAGTAAGCGGGCCGTCCCATTTGTAAAAGAGAAGGCAGTACATGATGATCTGGTTTCGGGATCGTCTTAGCAGGTTCTTCAATGGGTTTTGTTTTTTTCTCATGTTTTCTTCACTTGTTTTTCTGGTTTTTCATTTTTTCTGTTCTTTTTCTTGGTTTTTTCTTTAATTTTTAAATGGTAAAAACTAAAAAATGTTCTCATTTATGAAAAATGCCACATTTAAAAATTACAATTTACAAAAAATATGCACACTTTCAAAAAGTATTCACATTTTTTTAATTTTTGTTCATAATTTCAAATTCTCTTTGTGTTTTTAAAATTTTCCCATTTTCAGAAAGTATTAGGAATTTCAATATTTTTTCATATTTTAAAAAATGTTCGGAATTTCTAATTATGTTCGTGGTTTTCAAGAAACGTTTGAAATTCAATTTTTGCTCACATTTTCAAAATAGTTTTCCTGTTTTTTCCAAAAAAATGTTCTGTATTTCTATTTTTTTCGTGTTTTTCAAAAAAAATTTAAAATCATCTCACATTTTCAAAAATGATTTCGTGTGATTTTAAAAATGCTCGGGATTTTAAAATTTGTAACAATGCTGCCGTCCGTTGAGGGGCCGGCCCGGTCAGGTCACCCTATGCGTCTTTTCCCTTTTGTTAGGGATTGCTTCTGGAATTCTTGTACTAGCATGTGATCTAGACATGTTGCTTTTATCTTACATGACTAGTTTGAGTAGCACTGATGTTCTTTTCTTTATTCATGTTTGGTATGTTAATCATGATTTATTTGCCGCATTTTTGGATTAAAATTATTGGAAAATTTCTCACATATTCAACAATCAAAAAACCTTATCATTGGCAATTTCTCCAACTGTTTTGCTGCAACCCTCAAACTTCATGTGTTTGAGGGTGTGAATTACGAGGAATGGCACACAAGGAAGTTCTTTGGCTAACAACAAACCTTCAAGGGAAAGCCACACGGACCATTTACTCCTGAAGATGAGAAAGCTTTCCAGGCTATTGATACCCTCTTCAAAGGTATTGTTCTCAATGTTCTTGACGACAAGATTGTCGATCCTATCATGACCATTATGGTTGTCAGTATTTCAAGACCGTCAGTGTTATTGAGTGGCGACATATTTATTCGGAGGAGGTGTGAGCGGCGGATTGGGATGGTAAGACATGAGACATGAGATTTGCCCAGGTTTTAGCCCTCCGGGAGAAGGTAAGACCCTACTCCTATGGTCCTACCTTTGGTGGTTGTATTGCCTCCAGCACTCATAGCGATCAAAAGGATCATTGGGGAGATTAGTTTCTTAGGTTACAAGCTCTCAGCCGGAAAGCGGAAAGAAAGAAGATAGTGGTAGATGAGAACCTAGCTATAGTATGATCTATAGAACGTGTCAGATCCCTGAGAAGGCCCCTATCTCGCCTTATATATACCTAGATAAGCTACAATTACATGGCTCGACCCTGATTGTTGGTGAGCTCGCGCCCCTTGGTCCCGCGCCCACGGTTACTTGATGTAGTTCATACTTCCTGACTCCATGTTAAAAATACAAAAGAGACGATATTTGTTAACAAGGTTCAAAATCAACATAGTATATACATCCTTTCAAAAAAAACATAGTATATACATAGTATATACAGATCGACAACAAACCGCCAGGGCAGGCCGCCAAACATCCCTGCCACGAGAGTGTCCGGACCGTCCCTCTGTTAATCTCGTGTCTATGCTACCAACTCCGTCATAGTCTATTTTGGCTACCCGTGGTGCCTTTATATAATAATAAGCTCATATTACAAATGTTTGACTCAAACACCTAAATCTCTTGTGTAGCCTAACTGTAGTCCTATACACATATTCAACAAAATTTTAACACTTCCAAAAAAAACCTAGTCATGTACTACCACTGGACCCAAGATTCTGAGAAACTTGTCCCTATGACACTTTGGTGTTCTGCTTCTGCACATCTCTCTACATTTACAAGCTACAGATAAAAGAACCACATATCTGTCATGCTAAAAATGTTGAAACCATCCCATTGGCTGAATGCCTAAAACCATGCAAATGCTGACAACACTATACACCAGCTTGTATGAATAATGACTAGCTGGAACTGCTCGGATCAGTCTGCACGCTATGATCTGCAATGATGATATCGACAGGGTTCTTCCACGTGATAACATTACTCTTAAGATACAATTGGAGCCGTTCGACGCTCTGGGCCATGACGATTCTGCAGGTGCTCCAGTCGTCTGCTGCTATCTCAACACCCATGTAGGTCAGATGGTCTGAGGCGCTCAAGAACAACGCAAACACACTCCTATAAATGCAGAGACAGGGAGCAGCCGAGGTGTTAGGACTTCGAAACAGGAGACAGGGTGAGTTAACCAAATCGCTACCAGAGAAATGAATGGGCCCCCACCTGCAACAATCTGGATCTTCTCCGCTGCCGTCGCAAACTCGGAAGGTTGTGTTGCCATCAACATCATGTTCCCATACCTTAAATTTGAATGCACAGTGGATGGTGATTCAAGGATGTATAACAGATATATAGTAAGAGATCTTTCCAAAATCGATTCAGAGCGAAATGTTCGTATAGATAGTCCGGTTCTTCAAACAGAGACAACACAATGGTAAACTACTGCATTTCATCAAAATAGTAATGCGTGGTGACAAATGTTTTGCATGGTAACTGATGTTCAATTGTATTACACATCATGCAGATGTTTATATCACTTTGGGAGCACCAGGCGTCCTGTTGATGCTGTGTCTATCGACAGTGTCCAAGTAAAAAAATATCTAGAGTGCGTTTGGTTGAAAAGAACAATGAGCATATAATGTTGAGAGAGTTTTTACAATGATCAAGTCATGCAATTTCTAGGTTTATGCAGGGGCATACCTCTCTAGGGAAGTGGTGGTATGTCAGGTGCGGGAGGAAGAAGAAATAAGGGGGTAAATGAGGCACAATATCATGTTCATGTGTCACTCGGATCGCACTGGGTACATATTGTTCAAAGTAGGAGGCAAAGGCAGCATTGCCAATACGTGGTTGCCCAAAAGTCATGAGATGAACAGTGTCACTTCCAAGGCTAATCTGTAAATGGGAGGAACATTTCAGAGATCATGAATCAGCAAATACAGAAGTGTTTAATGTCGAAAGATAGTATTCCCTTGTTCACCAAAACAAAAGGTGAGCCTTATGCCAATAACATAATCGCGGGGGCACTTACAGCGAGATCAAGTGCACAGAAAGAAGCCATAGCTCCTCCCATCGAATGCCCTGTAACTATTATGCTAATATCTCCATACAATCTTCTTGCCTTGCGAACAGCATTTGTGATGGCTGGACGTAAAAGTGTATTATTGTAAGCAGAGTAAAATCCAGTGTGGACCTTTAACCAGAACATAAACCTCATCAGAAAATAAATAACAGCTACTCCTATATAAACAGAGTATATATCTCAAGTTCGTGCCAAAGACCTTCGCATCAGGCATGTTTGGATAGTTTAGGTCAACCTGCTTCCATACCAGGTCCTTAATCCAGTTCTGTACACTGAATGAGATAATTTAGAAGTGAACAGAGAGGGACATAAACACAAAAGCCAGTAAAGCTATGCCAAATTATTCCAAAACCTGTTCTCTTGAGTTCCCCTGATTGCAACGATTACAGCATTGAGATTATGATCAACACCAATGAATGCCTGTCAGGTTATTTAATCGCAAGAATATTTTAGTCCCGTGGGGAACAAACTTTACCATGTAAATTAAGGTTGTAGCAATGTAGCATACAGACCTGCAAGCAGTTCTGGATATCGACAATTATACACCTAATCTCAAAGCCCTGTTTTGAAATAAGATACCCGGCGACATCGGTAGTGAGTTATTTGTAGTAGTTGAACTTAAAAGTAAACCAAACGACACAATTAGACAAGATAAATAACAAGACGACACAATTAGTTGTCTCACTTTAGTCAAGTCATTACATCTTGAGCATGTCCATGTATATAGAGCTGTTAGGTCCGTCATATACACCTAAGAATGAGAAAAATAATATGAGCATAAATTAATTTTGGTTATATATAAATATATACAAGAAATTCGAAATAAAACGGAATTCCAATATTTAATTACAAATTTGTAATGTGCGAATGATAATACAAGAGCCTAGAACGCATGACAGGTTGAGAGAAAAGAGGACGAAGTAACTTACAGCTGAAGCATATTCCACAATAGTCTTCGCTAGGGTATAATTAAAAACAAAAGTCCGGTTGTTGCTGTTGAAACTGGGTCCTGTGAATGATAATCAGGGCATTTTGTTCATACGACGGAATCTGGGAACAGATTTCTGGTAGACTGGAGCTTGCGCCCAAAAGGAGATGCTAACACAATCACAAAAGTTGTACGGCGAACAGAGAAATACCTCTCCGTCCTCCGTGCGAGGCTGCGGACAGCAGCAAGAAGGCCACCATGGCCGCCGCCGCCGCCGCCGCGACCCACCGCCGACTCCCCATTTAGAAGCGCGGGGAAATCGGGCGCGGAGAACCGATTAAGGACCAACGATGCGTGCTTGAAAACTTGGGCGGAGGATGAAGAGGCGAGGCCGATCAAGCAAGAAAGGGATGAGGAAGGAGGGTGGGATGAGGCGGGGCGCCACGGCTCTGCTCGGGTCGCTGTCGTGTTGGTGCGTGTTTGGTTGGACTGTGTCACCGGAATCGGCCATGGAAAGTCAAGCAGGAGTTCTAGCAGAGTACTCTGCCCGTGGCCTGGGTGGTGGGGTCTGGGTGTGACGTGCCAACGTTACACTGGGTGTCAGGGTTGACGTGTCAACGTTACCCAGAGATGTCACAGGTTGGTTTTTCTAGTGGCAGCGCCGTGCACCGGTGCACGCGTGTTTTTATTTATTTAATGCAGTACAATCGTGAATGTTCACCGAGCGCTGCTACACCGACGACAGATTTGGACGATCAACGGACGACACTACACATCAAGCCGTTGATACGGTAGAGCAAAAGCAGACAACACTGTTTATTCCTGCATCGCGTGGGGTTCGGCCAGCTAATGTCGTCCGTCCAGCAGTTTCGATGTTCACCTGCACATGTACTCATCTGCACACGCGCACATTGCATCAGCCTCTTCGAGCTAACTAGTAATGATGCACGTGCATTGCACGTTTATATTAGGTAATATATTAGTTACACATTATATTAGATAAGATATATCTGTTGCACGTTGGTATTTGGTAAGATATCAATTACATTTTCACGAAAATGGTATGATATTAATTACATGGCAGATTTCAAGGGATAGCGTTGAGTCAAAACGTGTTTATAACAAATGACAGTGATGGGTAATTAGAGCGTTAAACGTGTTTGGTGCTCAACATTGGAGCGATTTGAACTGCTAGATAACATGATTTGACGGTCGAGATAGTTTAGATCTGTCCATTTGGATCTTTTTATATTGGTATAGATATAGATAAAGATAAGCCGTAAACGCATCGTAGGTGAGGGTAACGTTTTCTTCCACTCAACAATCATAACGAAAAAGGCTAAAATAAATCTGTATCCATACCAATATAGAGAATATCTAAAGGGGTATATTCAATTAATTTCAGCCATCATATCAATCCGACGGCCTATATTGCTCCAATGATAAGTGTTGAACGTGCAACTAATATCATGTTAAATATCCAAAGCCCAATTTTGAACCCGAGCTCAAACGTACCATGATAAACGGTAAAAAAATAATAGTTGAAATAAATAAAATAAACAGATTTTTTACAAACATTGACAAATGTTTTGCATGCTTACCAAATTTCAGCGCAAAATGACATTCGTGAAAGTCATGAAAATAAATCAGCACTCTAAAATATTTTCAATACTAGCATTTTTTATCATCAATATATGTTTTTTTGCCATGATTGTCCATGAATGTCATTTCATGCTTGAATTTTTGCATGCATACAAAACATTTGTCAAAGTCTATCATCAAAACTTTTAGAATTTTTTAAACTTGTTTACTATTTTCTTCTTTCGCTTTTACTCTTCATCAGGTAGCATTTGAGCTTGGGGACAGATGCTTCGCAACTTTTGTGTGAATCACATAACTAATGTGTAGTTGATATCCTACCTACTATCAATGTGCAATTAATTTCCTTCTTAATATCAACGCGCATTGCACGTGCGTATTTACTAGTCCAGAAAAATGCGAGCACAAGTGCTAAGTGTAGAACTTGAACCTTGATAGATGGTCCATCACAAGAAACTTTACCATCTGAGCTACACTCTGTTTGCGCGTGCTAACATTACTTGTTATAGAAATAAAAATAACAGAGTCAATTGCCGAAAGTCCTCTTTTGCGAGCTCACATGAACAGTAAATCAGAAAACTAAAAAAGATTTTAATTTTCTAGAAAACTCCTGTTAGGAAGTTTCACAATTTTCACGAATGACATTCCGTGGTCAAACTTTTGAAGCACTCAATTTTTTTGTCACTACTCGCCACAAGCATAATTCAGATTCTTCTTTAATATTTTTTTCAAATATTTGGATCTTACTATTTACACAAACTTATTCGGTCTCAAGCTAAGAAATATCGTCTTCACCAATAGGCTGTATCTTGTTGTGAGGTTATTTATAAGTAGGTGCTTCTAGTGTTGTCGATGGACATGTGAAGGTGTGTGTTCGACGAATCATACGGGGTTAGTTGGTATTTCTTTTCGGTGAATCTAGTTGGATCCGATCTTCGTTCGTCTATATTCATGTGTCTACAACATGGATCCTTTAGATCTATACTTTTATTCATCGACGTGGTTGGTTTAGTGGGGTCTTAGTATAACTATTTACTATAACAAGGTTTGTCCGACTCTGTCGAGGAAGAACGATGAGAGTGACACACATTCGACTCGTTCCAGTGCCTCTAGTGCTACGTCTATGGATCTGGATGTATTCACAATTGATGAGTGGATGGAAAGTTTTACAAAAAAATATGAGTGCTATGTACTTCTGTGTTCAATCAAAAATAAATAAATAATTACACTAGTATAAACATGTGTTAAGATGTCTTTATGGTGTCTTTTCTTAAACTAGTAATAATGTACGTGCAATGCACGTTTATATTAGGTAGGATATTAGTTGCATGTCATATTAGATAAGATATATCTGCTGCACGTTGGTATTTGGTAAGATATCAATTACTTTTTCGCAGGAATGGTAGGATACTAATTACATGACAGATTTCAAGGGATAGCATTGAGTAAAAACGTGTTTATAATCAATGGCAGTGGTGGGTAATTAGAGCGTTAAACGTGTTTGGTGTTTAACATTGGAGCGATTTGAATCGCTAGATAACATGATTTGACGGTCGAGATGGTTAGAATCTGCCCATCTAGGCCTTTTTATATTGGTATAGATATAGATAAAAAAAAACAATAGCGTAACCGGCGACCGGAAAGGAGCAGGCGAAGGTGCCTCGCTTCCGCCTCCGCGCCATGGGGGCGATCAGCTCGGCGCGGATCTCCAACATCCCAGCTCCGCAGGTGCTGTTTACCTTCCCCTCTTCCCCCCTCTCCTCCCTTGGCACCGGCGGCGTTCCGGCCTCCGGCACCACTGGTCGCCCTCGAGATGTTAGGGCCATTTTATCACCATACTTTTTGGGTTCACATAGACATAGGCAGTCCGGCACCTTCCTATACTCAAATCGGCAGCGGGGATTGATCCGTGAAGCAAATATCAGTGGTTTCTGGGGGATCGCTGCTGACTGCGGCAGTGTTTAATGGCCAACCTCGAGGCGGGTGGCAGAAAAGTTCAGCTTTCGTGGTGTTAGCATAAACCTAGACTTCACAATGTCCCTGTGCGGATCCTGTTGCTAGTTAAAATCGTTTATTATAGGCTTTACCACCCGTGACTAAACTTAGATAATATATCATCATTAGCCGGCCAATTAGCAGCACAAACTTGTGGAGTCTCTAACATCTGCACTGAATTCGGTGCGTCTTGAGTGAGTCTCGACTGCTCAATGTCACACTGAATTACTGAAACAATGCAGACCATCACCCAATCAGACCTGGACATTTTTAGGCTCGAATTGCAACATTGGGACCATGCACCGCAAAATAGATTGTCTTATTTCTGAAAAAAGCCATGTTTGTATGGCTCCATATCTTGAAAAGTATTCATAACCATTCTTTCGCGCTACTCTCGCCATGGACTATCCGACATCGCCTCCTGGATACGCTCACAGATTTTGCCCTCTGGCTTCATGTCATATGCCAACCTGTCCACATGAAGCAGACTTATTATTTGCAAGATTATATGTGCGTTGACATCGTACTATCTTCCTCTCTTCAACCCTGTTGTCATAACCTAGATGCATAATCCTATGTTTTCTTCTAAACATTGGACATTTGTTTTGAGACACAATCCTTCATTGCATCGGTACCAACCTAATGAGAATTTCCCTGTAACAGTTTATGCCAAAACATTGATGTCTTGGAACAAGGTGAAGAAATATTCACTCGAAACCCACCAGATGCATCAGAGAGTGGTTCTTTTATTTGACTGTTTTGTCTTTCAGTCGACGCCACTGTCGACGGTTCTGTTCATTTTCACGTTTTGTTGGCATTTCTTCTAACACAAATATGACATCCATATAGATGCACGTTCTAGCAAAAAATATTAACAAAATCGACGGAGTCCCTTACTGTACTGCAACATACAATACACTGCAATCGTGGATGGAGAATCTCCTACAACTTGCTTATGAAATGAGAAATCAAATGTGTTCAGAACTCCTACTGCCATCTACTAATCTACGGTTGAATTGTAGTCAGTCACGAGACATAAGCTCTTTTGCTCTTGCCACAAGAGCAGACATAGGCGTGCTGTACTCCATGAAACCTGCATCAGCCATGAAGAGCTTGTAGTTCTCAACTTTTGACACTGTTTGTTCTACCCTTGATAGTGCTTCAATTATCTTGAATTCGTTGAAGCAATCTGCATAGCGAGGATTGCACTCCATCAAGTGTATGACTTGCTCAAGTATCACCCTCCTGATCCCAGGACAATGAGCGCTAGGTTTCATATTTGCATTCAGTATGTCGACAAGCCTCTTCAGAAATCTCTGCTTAATCGGATCATTATCTAGTTGTCGCGTGAACTCTTCAGGAATAACTTTACATGTCTGTGAACTAAGTCCAATCAAGATCTCTAGTTCTGCCCCATCCGCGCCCATTATTCTTTCCAACACCTGTAATGAGATGTATCACTATCAGTCAAAAGATGATACATAGCTCTATCTATATAATTCAGCAGTAATAGTAAATTTTGTTATCCATCTGTAATAGTGCACATATTGCTTGAATTAGCAGCGGTCACCTCTCGTAAGGTATGAGATAACTCCTGCAGGTCTGACTCTTTGAGCTTGGATCGAGCGTGCATGCACAGATTACTCAACACACTTGCCGCCACATATATGTACTTATTATCATGGATCAGGATCATAGTTTTGAGTTC